ATATAGAAATGAAAATTTTTAATAATAAGGGACATTTGAATTATGTCCTTACAAATAATTTAGGGACCTATCTTTATTCAAGGATATTACTAATATTGCTGAGGCAATAAAAGTAGATAGGTTAGCATTTAGCTATTGTAATAACAATAGATGATATTTGATATAAAAATCAAATTAAGTATCATTCAATAAAACCCTGTATCTAATATCATTCTATTATAAAAAAAAAAAAAAAAAAACCATTTTATTAAGTGACTCTATGAAACTTTACTCAATTTCAACTCTGCTCTTAGTGGTTCTGTGAAATGTTGTTTGGTTTCAACTTTACTATCAGAGTGACTTTCTATAGAATCAGAATGGAACCAATGGAATTATTCTCATTCCTAGATATAAAATAAGTAATCAGTATAGTTTGTAAAATTATTGAAAGATAAAAGAAAAAATATAAAAAATCGAGAATTATTTTTTGTATTGTATTTTTATTCTGATTTATGTACAATGTTTTATTTTTATTAATAAATTAAATATATATATTTTTTCTCTTATATTGTTATCGATGTTTTATACAGTATGTTTCTTGGCAAAAATGATCGGCGTTACAATTTGTAGCGCGTAATTTTTATTCCAAAAATTTGGATCATTATACATTATCAAAGTTCGAAATTTATAATGGCGTGTGACAACATAAAATACCTTTATTATTGGAAAACCAAATACATATTCGTCTTTAAATTTTATGATTCCAAGTTAAACATCATTTTTATTTCATAAACAATTTTTTCTTGCAGAAGTGATCAGCGTGAATAATTCATGTACACGTGATTTTATTATCAAGTTTAATAATTCAGCGAAGAATTATGCCGATTGTTTATGCTTGGTATTATACAATTTATTTATTTTGCAAATTTGCAATGCATTAATAATTATTCAGTTCTGCCATTTTATCTTCCCTTTAGCTATATTCTTTTCCGGTGATTTCATTAGAATTGAACTGTCCACAGCAGGCTTATTAATAGTTTTGCGATATCCGAAACTTATAGGTTTGTGTTTCAGAAGTGAATCAATGTAATTCTTGAGGTTTATAATACGGTACTACATAAAGTGAATATTAAGAGTGGTGTTTTTATATACGCTTTAATAAGAAGGCAAAATACCTTGAATTCCAACATAACGTGAATGATGCTCGAAAGATCACTTAATCGATCTGCAGTATCGGGGATAGTAAAGCCATTAATCTGGTCAACTAAATAAAGCCCACGCACCCAATGAGTTGAATATATTATAAAGTCTCTCTCTAAAATTGAAATTATTTAATAAGAAACATGGGCGTAGTAACGAATAACAACATTATATGCAAATTGAAAAATACGTACTATACACAAGCATGCCAAATGTTTCCAAATTTTCAAGGTCTTCGTTTGATATTCCTTTTTCCGACAATAAACTTCGCAACTTATTAAGAGATATCTGCATCGCTAATTAAAACAAAAGATTAAATATAACTTTAACAGGTAAATAAAGAAAACACACTCCTTGATATACCTTTAAGCATCTTTTCTCTATCGCTATCCCTTTTTTCATCATCGTGTCTGCATGGGTTACCAATTACTTCGCCAAAACCAACTTGAACTTCTTTATTCATACATTCTATCATTAATATTGCGTCATGCGACCATCCTATTGCTCTTTTTTGTTTTGGAGGTCGTGAACGATCCTTTTGATTTTTTCGATCAATATTTTCTACTTCGCCACTATATACCAAAATAATAAATACATTAATATATCATAAAACATTTTTTAAATATGCATTAAAGTACTTACGTTCGCATGCAAATTTTAGGATAGACGTCTAAAAAAACATCTTCCCATAATTTATTAATTATACGGTCACGGTAAGCGTATTCAGACAATCTTGAATCGTGAAAAAAGTCATTTGGCATCTGAAAACAAGTGATACTTTCATAAATTTATGAAGGTTAGCATAGTGAAAACACACTAATGACAAGCAAAAAAATGTTTATAGATAAAATAATATCCTTACAATGAAGTATACACAATCTGTACCCAATGAGGAAGCCAGTCTCTATGAAAAACATACTCTGTTCTTTCTTTATCAAACGGATTTTCGTTTATTACTAATGCTATTTTACTAGCATCTGATTTAAAATTGATCGTATTTTTTTTTATGGCTTTGTTGTACTTAGTTAAAAGATCTTGTATGTTTTTCGGTATTACTACTGAAAAGGAGTCAACAATTTTTTCTTCAATCTAAAGAAAAATTATTGTTAATGTTTTCAATCCTTAATTGTATTATTATTAATTGTTAATGTTTTCAATCCTTAATTGTATTATTATTAAAAAACACAAACCATTTTCCAGTCACGTTCGGATTCTACCCATTCTTGACTTGTTAAAAGAGTCTTTAAAGGATCCTTCTTATTATCTTCGGGTAAAAAAATTACTCTGTACCTCGCAATACCTTCGCCGTATTCCAGAAGTTTTTCAATGATTGGACTTGTATCTTCCTGCTACACCAGATGATAAATTGATAAAAGCACGGAACTATTTGAAAAAATTCGAAATACAAGAATGATAAAACAAACATTTGTAGTATTGAGATCTTCCAAAAACTCTTCATCAGAATTGACATCTGAGGAATTTTCATTTTCATCTTCACAAATAGATGATATTCCGGAATTTGATCCATCCTGTAAAAAATTAGATGAAAAACAGAAAAAATATTTTTTAATCTGAACCATAATGTATTGTTTTATTACTTACAATTATCATTTTCTCCAGATTATGTAAATCTAACTCGTCAGGTAATGAATTTCTTTCGGAATAATTAATTACCTTCCGACTTCTAAGATTATACTTGGTTGGAGGTACAGACTCTTTTTCATTATTGTTATCATGAATTTACTGCGCATATGAGATGAAGACAACAAAAATGCCGAACCTCGTTTTCTGGTGATTGTGATCGGTTTTTTTTGGAATCTCTTTCCTTAATATCATCATTCTAAAAATTATCAAATGGAAATAGTTGGCTTGCTAAATATATTAACTACCTAGCTAAAAACATGTATTAGTACCTCTTCATAATCTATATTCCTTTTTGGCACTTTATTGGAAAAATTAAGATCACCGATACTTCCAGTTCGCACCAGATTTCCGAATGTAGAATTATTAATATAAACCGAAAATCCATCACTCCCACTGGCTGAACTGCGTTCATTTTTCCATTTCCTGGCAGAATGATAGTCAGGTCGAGGATCCTAACAAACTTGAGTGTTAATAATATGCTAGTTAAGAATATGCTAATTAAGAATATTCTTGATTTCTTCAATCCCACCAGGTCGACAAATGCCTTGAACATCAGGTGAACGAAAAGCTCGCCCATGCCCCAGTGGTACCGATGCTGGGTCAGCAAAAAGCCTTGAACATCGGATAAACGAGAAGCTCACCCATGCCCCAACACTAGTTTTCATGGCTTAGCGAAAAGCCTTGAATGATCAAAAACAAAAGAGGTCCTTGCCACACCACTATTCGCCTTCCTACATTTACGATAAAAGATTTACTTGCCTTTTTATATCTATCAAGAAGCTCTTTTGCTCGCTCCTGTTCTTCACCTTGCCCAATATTAACAATAACATCGAGTGATTTTATATAAGAATCAATCATGAAATCAAATGACTCTATGTCACATTCATTCAAAAAGTCGATAATTTCCCATTTCTCGCATTTCTGTTTAAAGTAGTCGCGTAGCTTAGACATTATGCGAGGCCTGAGAAAAGTAAAATAATAACACGAAGTAATTTTTACTACGTGACTATCACGATTATAATCACGTGATTAAAATACAGTCGCCTCGTCTATTATTGCCCGATTTAAAGTATTATAAATAAATAAATCGGGCATTACTTGCATTTATATGTATATAACGTATTTATTATAATTTTTATTAATTTACTTAACATTTAATGATTTTTATTAATTTATTTATAACGTACATTTACAAA